CTTATCCCCCTCTCTTGAACAAAACAAAACAAAAAACTAAATGGTGCTTTGTGATTTAAAAGTTGGAATTCATTTTGATCCAGTAAGTTGAAGGATTAAAAGGATAGATAGTCATTTGCGTGTGGTTAGGAAAACTTCCTTCCGCGGAAAGTTTAAATATCTGCAGCTTCCATGCCCATTTATCCAAAAAAAGAAAAGTTTCAGGAAGACCTCATTCCCCCCGGTTCGTTCCACTGTAACTGATGACAGCTCGAAGCCCGTTCCCCGTTCCCGGCAAACGCTGAGGCGCTTTTTAGTTTATCACAAATACAGCACAACGGCTTTAAATATTTTTAAAACATGTGATAAAATAACATCTTGCATAATTCTGTAACTTTGACATCTTAATAGTCATGCATTTTATTTACTTAGTCATTGAAAACTCATACTTTATTCTAATTTTTTTCCCTGTATTTAGAACAGGGTCTACAGGGTCTCGCTATACAGATAGGACTCGTAGTGAGTCTCCTGTTTTCAGCCTCCCAAGAGCTGGGATTACAGGCGCGTGCCACTATGCCCAGTCTCAATCACCTTCTCAGCGCGCCTTGGGGACGGGGCCAACACTACACACTGGGCATCAAACCCCGGCCACTGTGCTCTGCCTAAGCAGGCACTTTAGTCCGCTGAGCTATCAGGCTGGCCCCTGATTTTATTTATTTTTTTTTTTAAAACAAAGCCCTTGCAGTATATGTAAATTTAGAGTGGACTATGACATTCAATTAAATAGAATGTCACTCGGGCCAGGGAGATGGCTCAGCAGAATAAGCGCTTCCCTGGCAAGCACAAGGGCCTGAGTTCAATCCCCAGTTCCACAAAAAAAAAAAAAGAAGAAGAAGAATGTTACCCATTTTGCTTTATAAGTGATTATTAAGCAATTGGCTATTTGTACTTCATCTTGGAGAATTCAATTCTGAAGAATTCTGGAAGCCTTTTTCTTCTGTGGGCTGCATCTGCTGCCCCGAGAATTGCACATTCCCAAGGACAGAAAGACAAACCTCCTAAAGCAAGGGACAGTATGTGATGTTTTTCTCAGATTTTAGAAAAGTACTCATATTACTACAAACCCCAAAATAAAAGCGCTGAAGAACCTTCTGAGAGAAGGAAACACTCTCTCTTTTATATATTTGCTTTAAACCTTGCTGCTGTCCTTGAGATCCAGGCTAGATTTAATTTTCCTGTGAGCGGACTGATTTAGCAAGCAGGACACCAACGGTGGTTTCTATTAAAAAGTCCTTCGGGATCCAAGGAGCCATTTCCTGCCAATGTCATAAGAACATGTGTTTCTGTTCTAGGTCGTGCTGTGGGATATCACCGCGCACGCGGACCGCCTAGAAAGCACCAAAGCCGGTGGAGGCGGGAGCAAAAAAGCTGTTCTCAAGGTTGGCAGCTGAAACTTGTCTCTTGCAAGGTTTTTTCCATCTAAGAATTTACTAAACGGTGTATAACACAGTGGCCAGATTTAACAAACATTCAATAAAAGAAGGGGAAAAAAGGATATTGTTTCCCAGAGCTTCACATCTGCTTGTGGGAATGTTGTAAATCACTTTCATGTGGGCCTTCCATGAACAATGCAACAAAATAAGTTGCATCATCCATCTCAACGGGGTGGGGGTTGGGCTATTGCTAAATAAAATGAAGAAACCATGTAAATGGCTAACGTGGTGCAGGTGAAAGAGTTCTGGTAGTAACACCTTTAGGGCCAGGTATTTGACCTGTGTCAAATGAAAGGATTACAATCATTTCTGATTGGAAAAAAAAAATAAATGCTGTGATCTGTGATCTGGTGAGGCTGTAAATTTGGTTTTAAGAGAGCTCAGATAAGGTCCCTTCTCTCCACTCACATGTCCCTACTGCACTGCCCACGCCCCCAGCCCCAGCTCTTCAGCCTTGATGCTGGCCCCTTACCAGCCAGTGGTAGGCTGTGGGCTTCTGTTCATGCACGAAAACAGTCCCTGAAGAAAGGGATATCCTGGCATTGGGACATGGCTCGAGAATGCAGTGCTAGAGCCAGCCAGATTGCTCAGTGGCAGAGCACAGTGGCCTGGATTTGGTCCCCACCATGCCGTGCTGCTGGGCCCCCCTCCTCCCCCACCCCAAGGAGTGCTGAGACAGTGATTGGGACTGGGTGCAGTGGCCGGCACCTGTAACCCCAGCACTTCGGAGACTGAAAACAGAGGACTCATTACAAGTCCAATCTACCTAGTGAGACACCATACACCCTATACACCATGTCCTAAATTCATTAAGAAAAAAAAAAAATGCAGTGCTTGCCCCAAAGGCCTGGATTCCAGTCCCAGCACTGCAAACAAACAAATCAGAATGGAATGTTCCATTGATTGTTTAGCCAGTAGGCCAACAATACACACAAAATTTAGAAATAAACTCTTAGGCTAAGCTGCAGGTGAAAGTCAATAATCCTATTACCTAAATATATCAGATATGAAAACATGAATTTATGTTTTCTTGAACAGATATATTTTCGAGTTTTGACTGGAATGGTGGGTAACGTATGAGGTCACTCATGAGCTCTCTGAAATGGAACTTTCTTTTAACGTTTCTTCAGCCTATGTTCCTCCTCGAACCAGACAGTAACAAAGAAGCGATGTACATCAGACACTGTGCTGTCTCTTCAATAGAAAGTGGTCATAAAAGTGTCATCACAGACATACACTGGCTGGCCAACACATTCGAGGTAAGTCTTGGCAGCTTTATTGTAAATTTTCAGATTTGGCCCAATGGCGGTATTTCTTTTCTTTGGTACAAGGTCTTACTGCGCAGCTTGGGCTCATAGCAATCCTCCTGCTTTCAGCCTCCCCAGCGCTGGGATTACAGGCATGCGCCACCATACCTGAACTCGGTGGCCGGCCAGCTCAGCGTGCCCAGAGGTGGGGCGGGCACAGCATGTGGTACTGGGGATCAAACCCACGTCCTTGGGCTTGCCTAGGCAGATGCTTAGTTCACTGAGCTATCACTCTGGCCCTAAATGAAGGTGTTGAGTCAATAATTCAGTCAAGTTTAAATTGTGAAATAGTCCATGTCACTATCACCAGATTTGTATCAGGCGTGGGGATGAGCATAAGGCCAATTTTCACCTAGACTAGGATACACATCTCAAACTCTGCAGGTGGTTCAACATTGATATGCTGCAGTGGTGGAGAAAAATAAAGGTCTGATATGTAAAACTAAGGTGTAAATATTTTACTTCGTTAGCAATTACGGATTTGAAATTTATGAGCTCGGCTTTTTGGAGGAGTCGGCCCTGCAGCTCTGGGGCTGCAGGGGTGCGCAGGCTCGTGTGGAGCTTCGCCTTGAGGGCCCAAGAGGCTGCTGGATGGAAGCTGGTGCAGCGACGTGCCACGTGACTGCCTGGATGGTGGCGCCGTGGTCACGTGGCACCGTGTGAGGCTATAAACCCTCATGTGGGTCCCCATGAGCCCCATGTGTGTGTTATTTCACTCTTTTCAACTGCTCTCACTTGCCTGGCACCCTTACGAAGCCTCCTACAAGTGGCTCAGCCATCGCTCGTGAAAAATTGAAAAAGCTTACATTTCTAATAACAACCAATAATGAAATTATGGTACAGCCCCTATATATATTATAACACAAGAAAATAATTTATGAATACACAGATGAATGCCGAGATTATGTTAAGTGGAAAGAATCTCAAGATAAAAAATGTATATGCATTCGGATTAACACTATGCAAACAAGCGTCCACAGTAAAAGATTTAGGCAAGACCCTAGGACGGAATTGTGTTTGATCATACAGGCTACTTTCCAAATTTCTGTGACGGAAGCATGGCTTTATTAAGTTTAAAAATATATGATTGGCTGACACTGACAAAGGATCTACAATGA